CGTGGCCGAGGTTTGTCAACCACCGGTGGGGTTCCAAGGCTGAGGTGTTCGAGTTCCTGAGCACCCAGCTGCCGGCCATCGAGGACTTCATCCGCACCTTCCGCAACTCCGACGGGAGGCGCAACAAGACATGCCAGGCGCTGCAGGTACAGCGCTTATGGAGTATGCTGATTGGAACCTTCGACTACGCCAGAGTTTTGTCTGCCATAATATCTTGCCTTGCCTCTCCTGTGTGCTTGACGTTCAGCGTCAACACTCAATGTGCTCCCTTTTGAAATGCGGTGCTAAACACCGTTGCTTCTCGGTTTCACGCGGCAGGACAAATACCTGGACAACGTCCACGAGCGCAGGTTTCTGCTCCTGGAGCTTGCCATGTACAGGGACGTCTTGTTGACGTTCAAGACAGCATGCTTGGCATTGGAGGGGGACGATGCCCTGGTGTTCAAGGTGAGGAACACGATTGTGTGGTTATGGAACTTGGGCGTGTATCTTGGTGCTGTTGATGCTCACCATTTAGATTTTCTTGTGTTTCCGAGGTGTACTTCAACATGCAGAGAGACCTCGACATCGTTGTGAGACAGTTCAACGTAAGCGCAGGCAACGGTGCTGCCACCATGTCTTCGCTGGCTGTGCCCAATTCGAAAAAGGTTCTTGACAATTGCATGCGGGCAACGGCATGCACCTGCTTCCTTGTTTGGCACACAACATCTCACAGCCAACGCTTGCAATTCCTTGTCGCACATTGTTGTTTGTCGACAGGCGTACGACATCATCCAGAAAGTGGTGACAACCCTGCGGCTGGACGACCTGAACGCCTACGTGTCCCTCCCCAACGTCGAAGCTCTGCTCCGAGGAAACCACGAGGGCACACCGGATGAGGCCACGTTAGCCTCTTTGCGCTCACACGTCACGGGCTGCCTCAAGGACATCCGCAGCTACTCAAGCAGCCAGTTCGGCGACGGCATGGAGGTCAAGTTCCGCCGCGAGCTTGACCTCTTCAAGGCCGCGCGGATCATCAACCACGTGCACGTCCGCCAGCAACCTCTCGACGACATCGACCCCGAAGTGTTGAGCATCTTTCCTTTCATCAGTTCGGGCGACATCACCAACCTCCGCGCGGAGATGCCCGAGTACATGAACGCCGTCACCCGCGTGAGGTCGACGTACCCGGTGCGGAGTTTCTGGGTGGACAACGCGTCAACTCTTCCCGCGTGGTACGCTGTCGTGGAGAAGCTGTGGTTGGTGCAGCCTTCGTCAGCTATGATGGAACGTGTTTTCTCCGTCCTCAACAACGTGTTCGGAAAGCAGCAGCTATCTTGTCTGAACGACCTCGTGGAGACGACGGTCATGGTGCGGTTCAACGAGACTGACCGCACCAAGGGGTCGGCTGCCCAAGCTGCAGCCTTGGACGACGAGGAAGAACACGAGGGAGGGCCTGCCCAAGCTGCAGCCTTGGAGGACGAGGACGACGAGGATGAGGGCGACGAGGACGAGGACGAGGAAGACACCGGGAGCGGACAGGACTAAAAGAAACACACAACAAGTCGTGTGTGTAGTTGTTTGACGTCACACCGACCGTCACAGGCCTTGGACATGACGCATTTTTCCTTGATGGTAGTCGGACGAAACATCGCGCTCTTACTGTTGGGTGTGGTGTGTGGTGTTCTCTTGGAGATCGTGCGTTTGATGTAGCAATTAGTTTTAAAATTGGTTGCAGATTTGCAGCGAAGGGGCTCAACCAGAGTACCATATTATTGATGTTTTTCTTGCTTGCGTTGCAAATGGCAAATGGCATGCGTGCGCCTTGCTGGCACCCCCGGGTACCCACGTTACAGTAGAAAGTAGATATCTTGCAACGGCTCTGTGAACCAACGAACGCGTCTACTACTCTGTTGACTCAAGATAGAAATGAGCAAAAATAAACGTAAAACCTGGATCGTTTTTGGTACAGTAGTGTCGTACCAAGGGTATATATACCAAGATAACAAGAGGGTCTCTAGGAGTCTCACCTGCTTCAAATTTCTTCGATTACCCCCTGATGATATACCAACCAAGCCATTGCAACGTGCAGTGGCGCGCTCTAGGTGGTGCATGGAATGGGGCGCAAAACCGATTTGGTCGGCATCAAGCACAACAACACCGCTTTGTGCTTTGTAGGACCTTGTGGCCTTGTTCTGTCGAACTGAGATGCATTTAAGCCGCGCTAAGACGCAGTTTCGACGCGCAAAGACGTATTTTAGACGCGCTTAGACGTATTTTAGACGCGCTTAAGCGAACACAAGACGTCCCAAGACGAATACAAGACGTGCTAAGACGAATACAAGACGTGCTAAGACGAATACAAGACGTGCTAAGACGAACCAGAGATGCGTTTAGACGTGTAAGATGCACTAAGACGAACCGAAAATTTTTTCGCCTGCGGCGGGCTAAGTACTCGCTTCGCTCGTCTTAACAGTCCGACTAAGTCGGCGCTGCGCGCGACTTAGAAGGCCGGGCCAAAATGGATGCCACGATGCCACGATCCACGACAGACGATCCGATGAACGATGAACGATGCACAGCGAGCCAGAGGATATCCTTTGTCCTACACTCACTTGTACGTGGGCGTCCAGGGGAGAACACACCGGTCTAGATGGTACACCTGTAGTCTCACCAAACTATCTGTGAGTCTATTTCGCTATAAACAGCATGAGAGATGAGAGCCTTCGAACTTGCAGCCATCCATTTTCCGTGCCGTTGCTGGGTTTGTTGACATCAAAGTTTCTGCGGACGTTAAAACATAGTAAGAAAACTAGCCGGCAGAGACTACGGGGGTGGGCCTCAAGCTGTGGTGCCGGGTGTCCTCATTAACCCTTCTCATATTTACCGGCAACGATACCATATGGCCCACATTTTATAGTGCTTCTTTGGAGAGCCTTGCTGGTGTATTTCGTCGACGAAAAAAACACTTGCCGGCTTGTTTTCTTCCTTTTCATTGTAGCATAGAGAACGGTGCACATGTACATTCGGTCGGTTATGACCGTCCGCCTGCCGCATCTGAGGTTGGTGACGTACCCCCCACAAGCAGTGGCTATGCCTTTCAGAGAGCGCAACAGCGGTGAGCCGCACGAGCGCAATTATTTCGTAACATCGACTGCGCAGATGGGGCTTAAGGAAGAAAGTATTCGTCTGCTGGATTATGAACGAAAGAGTTCGTAGAGGATGCCGGGGTCCGAAAAGGATGTTCCGGTGGTTGATCGAAGACGTCAGGGCAGGTATCCTCGAAGCTTGAACCTGTTCGAAGCACGAGGAGACTGGCTAATGTTCTAGACAATCCTCACTCCCCTGTGGGGAAGTATCATGTTGAACATACAGACCCGTTTCTAGCGAAAACATTTTCCTTCTTCTCGTTTCCGTGATTGTGAACAGAGAGACACGTGAGTGTGCAGGCCTTCGCCGGAGCCAGAGCTCCGTGAAGGCTTTAATCTCAAGAGGAAAGCTGAAACATCAAAAGCCGCGTTTGTTTGCCAGTGTCTAATCGTTGACAGGGCGGTCTCACCAGTAGTCATGCGTCTTGAGTAAAGTGCCACATCCCTAAGCAATACCGCGTGCGCGTCGAGGTCTGGAAGTCGGATAGCCCATGGGCACGAGCAAGACGCATGAGGTACTGAAACTCCATTCCCAAGACGCGCTCTCCCGACAAAAAATACATTTCGCTCGGCTGATTACAAGGGTAAATGGGCTCAACCCTAACTTCATCTATTTCCGGAAGATTTGGGCCTGTTTCTCTCAACATGTTATATCCTAATATCGGGCAGGCTTGGACCGGTCGAAATCGCCAGAGATGCACGCATCCCGACCCGCCACATATCTGAATCGCCCAAACGGGAACTAGTGCACATCACCGCATACGACAACGGTAACTCCCACGTCGAACTCCCCGGGCCAAGACGGCAACAATAACCACGCTACACCAACTCTGTGTCCTGCCGATCACTGTCATTATTCAAACTGCCGGTGTTGAACGGCCGTAGTCAGTAGAAGGGAACCAAATTTCTCTCCACGCCCCGAAAGCTACAACCGGTCCCTCCACCGCGCGCCCCTCGACACTAGTTAGCAAAGCCCGACTCGCATTCAGGCGGCGCTCCGTTTGGGAAGGGAAGAGTCGTCTTGTGACTTCCGCGCCGAGCCGTCAAGTATGTTTCAACATAAATGCTTGTACCCACACAATACGACCCTGCGTATCACGGGTGGCAACACATACAACGCCTACCACATACAGCGGTATGACCTCATCCCACCCCACCAACGTTAAACACGTACAAAGCAGGCTACGATATTTGCTCCTCGTGCCCTTTCGAAGTACTATCCCACTCTGCAAGACAGGGACGACCAATACCAGGGTGCCGACATGGCATCACCGCCAGCGCAAGGAGCCCGCGGACGCTTCGGCTCACCATCGACAACTCCCTAGCGCTCCTGTGCCATGCTGGAAACAACTTTTCTCCAAACCATTGAATGCACAACTATTAACACTTGTGGGTCCTTCATCGCTTCAGGCGCCCCCATCTCTCCTCTGTCGACAGGAACAACGGAGCAGCGGGCGTAGCCAGAGTTTCGTCGTAAATGTTGCGGAAAGGGTCCATAAGTCCTCACGGCAAGCTCTCAGAGTTCTCATCGTACACTCAGCAGCAGAGAAACCTAGGGGAACCCAAACGATCAACAAGCGACATATCACCTGCTTCTTGCAAACATAGGCACTCGGAGCTGTTCGCATACCCTGCGAGGGATCGATCACACATACATCCTCAACACGTTGGCCAGCAATGCGTAGGTTGCCGCCTGTAGACGAACTACATCTGCCGTCTGAACGTAGAGGAAGCATCGAACAACTTCTACGTACCTAGTTGCGCCATTTGGCCCTCCAGTTGTCCGAGGACCTCCTCGAGAAGAGCGGTTTCCTGATGACAGCTATCTATCGCGGCGAGCGCTGTTGAAAGCGATGGGTCTCCGCCGGTTCCAGCAACTACATTACCGTAAATCACGTGGCCGTTTCACACGCGAAACACGAGGGATGTGAGGAGCTGGTGGAGGAAAGGTAAAGCCGGATGGAGTCAAAACTGAGTTGCGCCGCAAACAGCAACGGGAATCAACTCATATGTGCACACAGGAAGTTGTTCGACAATACCCTTGTTTGTGGTGCATGTTATGCTATATAAGTGGTAATGGAAGGGTAGCAGGGGAGCCCAAGAATCTGGGGCAGGGCGGACGAGAGAGGGATCTAGCACGTTGCGTGCACTCCCCAGAGACCGGAGCCCGGTGGATCAACCATCAAACCCAACACAGGGTACTACCACTTCCAAGCATAATAATCGCCACAACAAAATACAGCAGTTCAATTGGCACATCCGAATCCGTCCATGCACACACCAACAGAAGTAGATATTGAAGATTTGTGCGTCTAGGGCGAAGGCTCCAAGCATGAATTCTCACTCTTTTTCTCGCAATCGCTGCAGTAGAGGTTGATGGACCCGACGTCCTTCCGCATGCAGTCTAGCTCTCCCGCCACGGCGTCGGTTACGGCGGCAGCCTTTGTAACGTCCCCGTTTGCGACTGGTGATTGGAAACCGAGGAGCATGGTCAGAGTCAACCGCTTGTTGTCGTGAGTCTCCTCTTACAAAGCATTCAGATACTGTACAGGGGTGGTTTGTCTCCATATGCCTAATGGTGTATGCGGGAGGGAAAGCGCAGTTGCGAAGAGCCTCTCGTAACGTATCTTATCGGTAGGGTGGGGCACCGCGGGTGAGGTGAGACGACTTACTACTGTATCAACCCGCCCCGACTGTCGCCTCCTGATGATTTGTTGATTGCAACGGCACCGAATACTGTCGTTTAACTCTATTAACCGAGACGAAATGGGCACTTGTTACCGTGCCCACTGTTTTCATTAGCACCAACTTGACTTACTACTGTACAGTTTGCTGTCCACGCTATTTATTCTACAGCGCCATAATGGCTCGATACCAAGCTGCTCCAAGTTGCCCTTGCCGTAGTCTGGTTTGGTTCGTAAATACATGTATCTCCATGCCCCATGCCCGAGAGAGTCTATATTTACGGTCTGTTAGTGACTCTTTCGGTCTAACCGGTGGTGAAGGCTAGGACGCACCGCGCAAGGCTAGGACACACCGTGGCCGACCTAACCCAACCCAACTCTAACCCTAAACCTCACCCACGGCCAACGGATGGCCTCGCGGCCGCGAACTGGGCGAGAACGTGGCTGCGCCGCGTCCTCGGCCGCGTTCTCGGAATGCGGAACGGTGAGAGGGCGCTGTAGAGGGTCAAGGCTAGGAACCAACGCCTGGCCAACCAGACGGCGTGAAACAGCTTAGATAGGAAGAGTCACTAACCGAGTGTAAAAAACTGCTAGCCCGGGAGGAGGGGGTGTAAGTTGCGCATCGCCACCGCTCACGGATCTAAACTCGTAGTGATGTACCACCCCATGACATCGGGTCTAACTACTCTTTGATGGGGCATTTGGTGCAGCAGTCACCAGTAGTGCGTTGGCGGGCATCTAGAAACAATTCTACCTTGAGATGCATTGGTCCATTTGAAGCTAGCAGCCAGCAGGCGAAGAGCAAAGTTGCACTCCTTGGTTGGACCACCCCCGCTTCCCCCGTGGGGGTTCTGATGATACAACAGCTTGTGCAACGGAAACTGATGTCCATCGAGTTTCTACAGCAGTACGTTTCATAAACCAGCAGTGCATCCCTCCTCGGTGTGGCCTCGCTGACTCAAACACTTCTTCGCAAAGCACCATATGCTACACAGGTCGTGCCCGAGGGAAGAGCGCAAGCCCACTTGTTGGTTGTTAGACGAGACTACTGTTGTAGATGGTACCATGTACGCCGCTTACAAGACAAACCGCTATCCGTGATCAACAATTACGCCGCAAGGGTCAACACAGCATGGTTGATAGACAACCGATCAGCTTGATCCTGACAGACCCTCCCTGCTACCTCGATGCCAGTGCTAACATTAAAACGCCCCCTGGGGTGTGCGGGACAGAGATCTCGAAGAGCCTCGTTTCCGCACCTGTCAGCTGAGCCCGCAGCATGTCTCCCAGCCCCTTGACAAGAACATCCGCCGCGGCCTTCGTAGAGGCCGACGGCTCGCCATGTGCACGTCCTGCCGACATATCTACTTTGCCTCCCCTTCTCTCTCTTTTTGTGGACAACAGGCGCCCCAACACCACACGTTTCGTCGCCAGACGTTGGCGTGCTACTGCTGCCGATGTCACTTGTACAACCAACTTAAACTCTGTCTCGGCTGGTCTCGCCTGCGACAACGGAAACATACCGATCGCCCCCGTATGCGGAACACGCCTTCCAGACTCGCAACCCTGAAAATACGCGGAGGAACTTCGGAACTTCACATAAATCCGAAAAAAAAAAAAGGGTGATTTTTCACCTGGTCCTGTCAACCCTCCACCAAACCACCTCCTCTCCTAGCGCCACGCCTGACCCACGGGTCGCGCCACAGCCAGCAGGAAGCGGCAGCATGGCGGGCGGAAGCCAGACCCCCCGCGGCGGCTCGTTGCCCGAGGAGATCGATGTCGACGAGGAGGATATCGTCCGTGTTATTCTGGTGAGAGAAACGTTTTTGAGTATGCGTAGCGGCAGCCGACAAGTGTTCACGCGGGCGGGAAATACTCAACTCCTCCTCTCTTTTTCTCTATGAAAAAAATGAGCGGATCCATGCCCTGCCTGCGTGGTCCCTCCGATGGTCGCAATCCCGGTTGATCCGGCATCCTCTCGGTATCTTTCGGCAACGTCGTGTGTCCATGCCCAAGTCGGCAACTGCTGACACTGAGTAGGAGGCGTTGGGGTCGTGGCCGGACACGCATGTCTGTCCTGGAGCAAATCGGGGACTCTTCTGGCACTTATTTACCAGTCTCGCATGGATAGATTCAACACGGAAAGATACGTTTTTCTAGTCCGATGTGGTCCGTGCGGCAGGGATGGCTGCGGGATGCCTCGCCGGCGGTTGTACGCGGCATCCCCACCTGCCTGGCACAGCCCTCCCTCGCGACTCGACCGCGGCGAGCGCCTCCTGCTTTTTCCACAACATTGGGTTTCAAGAGGAAACACGGACTTGTCGCGTACGCCGCATCTCGGCGTGGAATCTCAATCTTGTCCATGACGACACTGACTTGACAGCAGACAAAGTCCAGTTCCACAACACCTGAAAAAAAAAATATGCGGATGTATGTAGCACGAAGTTGATCAGCACCCAGTCAAACGTTCTCGCCAGGCGGAGGCAGCGTGCCCGCCGCTCACACTGTTATACATACGCGTATGAGTCCTCTCAGTGATGATCATCCAGTTTTTGTTTCCGCGGAATACAATCGGGGCTATTGTACACCGTCCGTGTGACGATGATGTACCTTCGCGCGCTGGGGCTGCATGTTGGCTTGGACGGCCGGGGTTGCTATTATTGCTCAAGATATATTTATGGACGCCGTGTTGGTTGTGGGTGAATGCATCGCAGAGACTGGCTGTGTGTATTTATGTATCTGTATCGGTTGTGGCGGTCATCGGTTCCTCCCCAACACATCATTTAGAAGAGAGAGGATGCCTGTCGATCGATGGGATATCTACGGATGATGATTAATGCCACAACACAGCGACCCGTTCGTGTCAAAGAACAGCTTGCTTCGTCTTTATTTTCCCCGTGCATGCACACATGGGCCGTCCCGGCAGTTGGGCCAGAATACATACATAATAATAGCTGTGCAGATGTTAGAGGAATCAAGTAGAGATGGGTTGGCAACGGGCGAACACGGCAAGCGGAAAGTTTATACATGTATCTGTAGATATATATGGTAAACAACGCTCGTCCGTCTCTCTCTGTCTTGCATGGGTGTAGAAAAGTTTGTGCGCGCCCGTACAGCAAAGTCTACAGACAGACGAGGTTCTCGTTCATGCTCCTGGATGTTGTACAGCAGTTGTAGACAAATAACTGATCCGCGGCGAAGGTGGATGTTCGCACATTCTGTATGGCGAATGGATGAATGTGGCCTCTGGTGACGATGCTGGAGCGAGCGCTTGATAGGGGAGTGCCGAAGCCTCCTCGAATTACTTATATTATCAAGCTCCCGGAGTCTGTGACATTGGGGGGCTTCTTTTCGGTTGAAGGCAGGGTCATTTCTGGGTGAGGCATCTACATGTAGTCACTATTGAGCATAATAAAAATATGCACAGAGCAGATGACTTTTCCTATAGCAGTAAGTGACTCATCGTAGAGAATGCGAAGGACATCGAGACTACAACTAACTGCTGTACGAGAAAAAAGAGTGGAGGAAGCTAACTTCAGCAGCATACAAGCACCATCATCATGTACCATGTATCGCTGGTTGGTGGCCATGTTTGCGTGTTTGCTTGTTCGTTCGTTAGTGGTCTCTCCACCGTGTGCCTTATTCTGTCTCTTAATTCTTGTTATTTTCGGCCTGGTCTTTTTTTGTCCTCGCCCTTTTTCTTTTTCGTTTTGTTTTCTCCTTTCTTCCTGTTTCCTTTTCTCTTTTTCTCTTTTTCTCTTGTTTCCCTCTTTTTCTGTGTCAGATGGCCTTGTCTCTGCTTGCGTGTGAAGCACCAAGATTGAACCGAGGGGGTGTACCTCTTTCTCTCTGGCCCGTGATGCTGACTCCAACTCTCAGTTGTTATCTCGCATAGCGCGCAGAGGGAGCGGAGGACTCCAGAATATCTGTCGTTGATTTCGATTGACTTGCGGACCCCTCGGGGCCAGTGTGTTTGAACGTACCTTTTTAGGGTTAGTTAGACTGTGACCACGGGAATCGACCGTGTCAAGTGTTGGACCAGTACAGACATGAAGGTACTGGGTAGAGAGAGATCGGAACGGTTTTTATTGTGAAGACAAACACAACAACAACAACAATGTACCATGGATGGAACAAACGTTTAACGTTAGCGTTGCACCACGCCGCCGAGGGATAAGAGGCATGACTTACAGAGTACGCCAGGAACCACCATGGCATCTTGTCAAGAATGTGTGCATGTTGCCGCCCAGTCTTGTTGCGTTGTTACAGACAGCCGGCGTTGCTTGTGTTTCAATCTGTCTCTCCGCCTACTACATACATACGCTGGGTCCATTGCGTGGCATCCTTCTGCGTTTAATCTTCTGATTTCGCGTGTTGGTGGTCCGACGCACCACTGACACGAAACACCCCGTCCAGAGCACCCACACACTGCGTATAGTACACAAGGTCTATATCGAAATTTAGATTTCTGTTGCGGGGATACAAAACGGTGTAAAAACGGAACACTACATGCATGCATGCGCAGTTACTACCAGCGAATCAACGTCATCAGCCCCGCGGGCACGTATCAGATATGCAAATGGATGAACACAATTAATTCTAGTCATTGGCCTTGGCCTTACATAGGTCCTCTGACAGGCTACAGCAGTATTATGTATGTGTGTTGTCAACAGTAGTATCAGGTCGGTTGGGTGTGTATGGGTACACATGAACGTCATTCGCGGAAGGATGTCAACATGTCAACCATGATTTCACCGAGAGCTTGGTCAATATTTATTGGTGTACATGAAAGTATCTCCCATGGTTATTGGTTGTGATGTAAATTGATTGACATGTGTCGATCCGGGTTGTCGGCAGCACGTTGTGATCCATATACGGTACGCCATGTATACTTCTCTTCGAAGTACGCTGGCACCAACAACAGTGCGATGTTAAGCGAGGGTTGGGAACTCTTGATTTACTCTCTCTCGCAGACATTCGACGAAAGGAAAGGGGAACGTTTCATACCGTCCAAAATGGTCTGCAGTAGTCTATGCGATCAATTTCGATCCGAGTGGCGGCAAGATTGGTCTTGACTTAATCGTAGTAAGGCATCCATTAGTTAGACTGTGAGCCAGCGGTGCTAACTGAGAGTAGCCGCTGACTGAGAGTATTCTAATGGTTACGCCTGTATCAAGTAAGGCTTAGCCCCTTTAACCAGACCTGTCCCGGTCACCCAAGGCCAGAGATAGGGCTCTCATGGACTGGCAGTTTTTCACGTTGCTCATGGTCGGCAATATCATACCTATCCATCTATGGCCTAGGCCAACAACAGCTACCATCAGGTTCGTTCGTAAATCGCGGCATTGGCCCGAGAAAGCGAAAGAAAAAGTAAGCCACCCTGTATTTTGGGCCCAATATGGAGGGGTACAAGGGGTTCTGCATTTTCAACGTCGTCTATATTGTACGCTTACCAAACCATAAACTACAACGATGTCTTTGCTGAAAACGGCATTTGACGGATACCTCGGACCCCGCCCGTCCCCCTCTCTGTCTCCCACCACCACCACCCTCCTATGTTGTTTTCTCATCTATCTCTCCCTCCCTTCCCCCCCTCTCTCTCCCCCCCCCCCTCTCCGTCTCTCCCCCCGCCCTCTTTCTACATCTATGTAATGTCCCACCTCCTTGCCTGTCTTTCTTTACATGCCTCTTGTCTCTTGCACACCATCGCCACCACCAGCATTGACATACATACCACCTACCTCACTTAACACCGCCGCCACCACAACCACCACCTTCGACACGATCACCACCAGGAGTATCTGCGGCGTCGGGGGTACATCTCCGCAATGCGCGCCCTGGAAAAGCAGGCGGAGATCCAGGCTGAGATTCTGGGGGGAGACGCGGCGTTCCTCCGGGGTCTGGTGCTCGATGGCTGCTGGGAGGATGTCATGGTTCTCATCGAGGTATGTAGAACATGCGTACACTACTACAGCAACCAGTAGCGGCAACAGCAGCACGGTTTGAAGAGGGTTCGGAACAAGCCGAAAACACCGGAACAAGCTAAAAACACTGCCTGAAAGCTGTTTTTTCTCTTGAACCGTACCGTACTTGCTGAAGTGGAATCAAATACATGTGTTCCTCGTGGCCACAACAAGCCACCCTTTCCTCGGCTAAATCCAAAATTTATCTTTCGTGGATAGTCGCGCTTAGACCGTAGCCGCTTCTGCAAGTACGACGCTTCTTTCGAGCCGGTCCTCTCTCGTAATCATTCGTTCTGATTATTTGCGCAATAATCCTCTTCCGGGCACAGGACGAGTTAGCCTTCGGCAGACGTTGTTCAGGTCGACAATCAGCCCCAATCGTCCTTCGTGCCCCTTCGCCTGGTTCATCACATTGCCGCAACCTGTAGCATGCTTCCCTATTTAAGAGTCCACTCCTGTCCCCTGCCCATGCCACCCCCCGGGGCAGCCTCTTCGCCCTCGCAGCGTTGTGCACGACCGGGCGTGCTTCGAGATCAGAAAGCAGGCGTTCTTGGAGCAGCTCGAGAACAACAACGGAGACAAGGACGACACGAGAGCTCTGGTTAAGGTAGAGGGAAGGCGTTTGATAGTAAGCGGCAACCTCTTTTTCGGGATCTATCCTGTTTCTATTTGTTCTCGGCGGCAAGGGAAGGCGGAGGATCACAACGTGTGTGTGGCTTCTATAGTTTCGCGTTTTTTGTTGCGGTTGTACATATGCCCGGGCCGAGAGATCTGGTTACGATACGTGTCTACCCTTGTTTCTCTGCCGGCTTAGGGGAACGAATCTTCACTCGGCTCGCCCGCGTAAGACCACGATAGTGGTGACCGTTTGCGTACGAAGAAGGTAGCCCCCATGCGAGCTCGAGCCCAAAGCTTCCAACGATATGTATGGATACTTTAGACGATAACTCGGCGTGCACCTACGTACGTCTGCCTCTCGCTCGCCCCCCCCCGGACAATGCAAGACACCGCCGCCTTCAAACACGTTCGTTGAGCCACGTGGTGCGCCTCAGAAATAAAAGGAAAGCGTAGACGCAAAAGTGCACCGTTTCACAACTCTCAGAGACACACACAGCTGAAAAGGCGTAGACGCACTCACGCAACGACGCCTCCGCCACCACAACTCCTGCCAACCCTCTCACTCTTGCTCGCTCCACCACCCCGGCCATGTATGTCCGCGGCCCAGGCCCTGCACAAGCTCGAGCGAGGCAGCTCCACCGAGGAGTTCAACGAGTTGTGCTACTGCCTCACTCTCCCCAGCGTGCGCAGCCACCCGGACTTTACGTCTTGGACCCCTCACCTGGGGAGGCTGTGGTGCTTCGAGACGCTCCGCGGGTACCTGGGCCTTATCTTCCCCGGCCAGGAAACGCCTGCCAAGGTGAAAATGCCTTTCCTTGAGATCTTGTGTCAGAGGTGCTATTGCGGTCACACGGGTGTTGTACTGGTACAGTAGTAGTGCTTTTGGTTTTTGATGGATGCTGACTCTCAGTAGGGGCGCGCGGGGGGGGGGGGGGGGGGGCAAACGGGTTTGCCTTTTTTTAAAAAAGGGTTTAA